GATTTTTGTGGATGGTATTCTGATTTTTTTACAGGAAGAGGGCTTTGATCTCCAATCTTTTTGGCTTCCTTTTTTGGGTGTTGCCTACTAGCAACCCTAGATTGTTACTAGGTCATTTTTCATATCTTAGTTGTGGGGACAATCGGCTCGTAGGATTTATTTTGTTTTTTGTTGTAATTCTTCTGAGCATTAGTGAGCTGAAGGTCCCCTTAAGAAACTTGTAACCTCTTTTTAAATTAAAGCATAGGCCTATCTGTGGGTTTCCCCTAAAAAAATATATATATCATAGCAAAATTCCACCTTAAATTTCTAGGTTTGTAATCCGAGAGAAAGATTGACCCTTCAATCATTCATACGTAACTTTGAGCTCTTCCCTTTTTATTTTCCTTCAACATATATATTGTGATAGATCCTACTCAATTTTCCTTTCTAGATAGATATAGAGTTGGAAATTTCACTCTTCTTGAAAAGATAAGGGCCTGGTGTTCAGAAATTTGTAATCCAAAGTATTCATATAAAAAAAGAAAGAAAAAATTGACATTCTCATGAAATAGTTGAAAGAGTCAAAAAATCCCCCGAGCTGCAACGGAAATGGGTTCCATCAGAAATATTTGAAGAATGCTTAGTAGTTTACCTATGTCGGTTTATTCGATGAAGTTAAAGGCTACAAAACATAAAGAGAACAAATGCCGACATCAAAGTTACTCAATTTTGTGTTAAACTCATCCTTATCATTGAACAAATATGCATCCGAAGATATTTAAATGGATGAAAGAGGAGAAAATAATTATTGTAGACATAACACCCAGAAAGAGGTAGTTATTTGAAATAGCTATAATAATTTTCTTTAAAATATATTTGAAGTTTTAATGGTTCTTTTGATATATTTTAGAAATAATTTGTAGATAGTAATGTTAGAGAACGGAAAGTTTAAATATTTATCCAATCATTTATTCTTACCTCGCTAATTCGAGTCTCCAGGTCAAGTCATAAAACTATTAACTAAGGTCAACTTGAAATTATTCTCTTAAGCAAACATCCACCCTACGTCTACAAGATCCCTTTCGCTAGCGTGACCATAGTTGTTGATGATGATTGTAAGGTCAAGTTAGATCAACTACATTTTTTTATTAAGCCGAGGTTCATGACTATCCAGAAAGACGGAGCCATTCAATTTTGTTCGGGTAGTTCATCATTCTCCAACTATCTAATTTAAGCTAATAGCGATAAATTTTCCCTTTTCAATTAAAAACCAAAATTGCTACTATTATATGCTAAGCACTTAATGATTAGCCTTAATCAAAAGTTCTCTCTCATCACCAAGAACGCCAGTTAACCATGAAATATCGCTCTAATGAGAAATCTTAAACGAGATCATACCTTGCAAAATGAGGGTAAATCCTTAGATGATATCTTATCTGCAATCAAATTTAAAACTTTTAAAGTTGATATTCTTAGCATATTCAACTTTTTTTAAAATAAGTCTTTTGTTATCAAGTATGCACGGACTAAAAACAAAATTAAACACAATCCAAGCTAGCCAATTATGCCTAATAGTACATTTAAAACATGATAAAAGCACCCAAATTAGTTTTCCGACCTGCTCCATCAGATTGAATCAATCTAATAATTGCACCCAGTCTAATCTCAAAAAATGTATCCAATCAAATTTGGATATCAGGATAACGAAAATTAACAATATAAGGTAAAGAAAAAGTTGACAAGGTAACACAGTAGTTTGCCAGCATATGATGCAATCAAAAATTTGGGGAGGGACCCAAATTTTTTATCACAAAAAAGAAATACTCTTTCTAGGATGATAGAAAGACATAAAATACTTAAAAGAACACAAATACTATAAAACACAACTTTATATAATAAAACGACTTACAAACTTTTAACTCAAATGACACTTACAA